TTTTTTTTTTTTTTTCCCTGTTGTATCTTGTTTTCTCCTCCGAGACTTCCATGAAACCCTGGGCGTCGCCGCACGGGACACGAAACGAAAAACGAAACGAGTGCATCTGCCTGGAGAAAATGGAGAGGTTCATCGTTTTGCTATAAATAGTAACGAGTGTTTTTTGCCACCTTTCGCAACCGGGGGCTAGGTCCCACATACACGAATTAGGAGATATTGACCGTAGATAGCACAGATCAACGGTCAAAATCTCGTAATCCGTGCTAGTGGGACCTTGCCCCGGAGCCGGGACCGGGTGTTATCCTTAGAATCCCTACTGCAACAATCGTCATATAGCCTCCTTTTTTTTTTTGTTTTTTGCCTTCGTACAGAAAGGAACTAATGGCAGACTGACAGTTCGTTTATCTTCTGCCTCCTGGAGAAGGTAAAATAGTCCTCCGACTATTGATCGTATTGATCCACGGATCTTCGGTTTTGTGAAACAATGTGTCATTCTTGCTCAGGGGCCATCCGAAGATTCTTAACCACACAGCCGAGGAAATCCCAACAATTCCCTTCACTTGGTCACTGCAAAGCAAGATTAGAATCGTTACACACACTGAAATCAATCAAAAGGGGGGAAAGGAGCAAAAGAGCAAAGAGAAGAGAAGTGTGTGAAGCGCGAGCGCCGCGAGGAAGAACAGATGTGCAAAAAGCATCAGGAGAAGGGAGACAAGAGAAGAGAAACAATATACCAGCCACCGACAGATGGCGAATGTACCTGCCTCGTCTAGTGTACGGACCTGCTATAATTGTGGGGATCCTAGTTGCTAATTCTGTGGTCCTCCACTTTGGCTGTCCTTCACTGTTCGAAGTCGGTAGTGATGCTGTCATACTGTATGCAATCACTTTGACTTTCGGAGTAATCACCGTAGGAGTCAGACTACTGGGAGTGTGGCTTCGATAATCTGTGTCGCTTGACGGTATTACGATGGCGAATGTACCTCCCTCGTCCAGTGTACGGACCTGCTATAATTGTGGGGATGCTGATTCTGTGGTCCTCCACTTTGGCTGTCCTTCCCTGTTCGACGTTGGTACGGATGCTGTCATACTGTTCGCAATCACCCAGACTACTGGGAGTGTGGCTTCGATAATCTGTGTCGCTTGACGGTATTACGATGGCGAATGTACCTGCCTCGTCCAGTGTACGGACCTGCTATAATTGTGGGGATCCTGATTCTGTGGTCATCCACTTTGGCTGTCCTTGGCTGTTCGACGTTGGTACGGATGCTGTCATACTGTACGCAATCACCGACAGACGTATGTAATCACCGAGAGACGTAAGGACTTTCTCAAGCAGTATTTCCGACAGGATGAATCTTTCTACATTTTCCTGCTCGCATTGCCTCGCACAACACACAATTTCTTGTTTTTCAGCCGTGGAGGTTTGTGTCCCTCTGTTGTTGCCGTGGATATGGTGTTGTGACTGTTGTCCTTTTGGGGTGATCCAAAGCTCATAGTGTGTTGGGTGTGGTTTTGGATCAGGGGTGAAGAAAAATGTCGAGGCGTAAAAGCGTTGAGGAGGCCAGCGAATCGTTTCAGTCTCACAAGTGGTATAACTAGAGGGGAGGGCAACGAAGCCGTCAAAGAGATCCCCCTTCGGGGAATCTCGACCTAATCGGGAAGTGCGCCGTCTTTCACTTCACCGTGAAAGTGCGCACCACCGTCACCAGAGTGTCCTGGTGGTCCCCTCCTTCCCACAGCAGCTTCTCTCTCTCTCTCTCTCTCTCTCTCTCTCTCTCTCTCTCTCTCTCTCTCTCTCTCTCTCTCTCTCTCTCTCTCTC